AGCCCCCGCAGAACCGAGCGCGGCTCCCACCTGCGATGGCTGGGGCCGCCTCCGAGCTCCGCCGCCGCCTCACCGGGCTCCGGCCGCTGCCGCCGCTCCCGGGCCCGCACAGACGCTCCGGCAATGGCGGCTCTCCTGCCCCGCGGCCGCCCTGGGGGCGCCAGCGGGGCCGGGCTTGTCCCCGCTCTGCCCAATCAGCGCGCGTCAGAACCACGAGTGACGGCAGCAGCAGCCAATCGCAGCCAGCGGCGGGCTCTCTGCACACGGCACAGTCCCGCCCCGCGCTCTCAGGCCCGCCCCCGGGCTGTGTGAGGGGAAGGGCGGAGATGAGGAACAGCCCTGGAACGGGCCCGGCCCCTGCCGCCATTGAGCTCCCAACACAAACAAAGTTCTCTGCAGCTCCCGGTCCGCCTTTCCCTGCCCTGGGTGTTCGGTGGCTCCGGCTCAGCGGGAAGCCCTGGAGCCTCACTTCTCTCACCTCTAATTGGGAGCATAAGTGCATCGCTCGGATTTCCCTCAAAAAGGGAAAACTGCCCCAAATCCTGTGGATGAGTGGGGGAGGAGAGAGATTTCTGGCAGAAAACTCCACAAACTCAGAGCAGGATCATGAGAAGTAAAGGAAGACCCTTAAAACCAGCTTCCCCCCACCCCTTCCTCCTCCCAACTGCGCCTCCTCCCCCGGCAGTGCAGGGACACAGGGAATGGGGCCATGGTCACTCCATCCCCCGGGGCTTTTCCCGCTGCTCAGGGACAGGAGTCGTTCCCCTGCTGCACCCTGGGCTCTCTCCCACCGGAGACTTCTCCAGGAACTTCTCCAAGCTGAGTCCATCCCATGGAGAACAGCCCCTCACAGTGCTGCAGCGTGGGTCACTGCCACAGGGTCAGTCCTTCTGAAAAGAACAGGCAAGGAGAGCTGCTCCTTTAATGCCTTTATTGAGGGCAGCTCTAGGTGGGGGAGCTTGACCACTGCTGCTCCCAATGGATGACCCAGAGGAGAAAGTGTTCAATATTGCCACAGGGCAGAGCTGGGGCTTCTGTCTTCAGGAGAGCCTCTAGAAGGACTCTGGTTTACTGTAAATCTTGGGTAGTCGTGGAGAGCAAATGTTGTTTAGTTATGGTGACAAAGTCCGGAATATCAGTCAGTTGCTCAATGTTCTGCCTTGCTTCTGAGTGTAGTTTGGAGTCCGGTTTGAGCCATGGCTCGCTGATTCTAGGGGTCTTTGGATGTTAATCCCACTTTTCCTGGGTGCTACCCCCCATGGGAGTTGGGCTCATCTACACACTGGGTGCTGTCATCGGTGCCATTGGGGGTGCCGGGAGCAGCAGAGGCAATAGACAAGGCCAGGTGGCATTAACAAGGCTGGTACAACATTGGTATTTACCAAACATGACACAAAGTGAGGTATATTAACAAAGAAGGCACCTTACGGTGACAACATTCTACTCTTCAAACTGTAAACATCTTTGTGTACTGATCAGGAGGTCACGATTTGCTCTTTACAATCCTGATGCTGAATGTCTCCTGAGGAGGTCTGGTCACAGAGAAGAATGAGCCCCTTGTGAGCTGCCCCTGTTTGGACAACCTGCTCCTCACCCCGAGCCTCAGCATGTCTGACATCGCCCAGCTGGGACTGACATCCCAAAACATTGAAAACATTTATCAATTTCTTTTTTATCATTAAAATCTAGTTAATTAATAAAAATAAAATTTTAATTTTTATAATAATATTATTCTGTATTTTTATAACCTAATTTTTATATTTATATAAAAGAATTTATACATTTTCAGGGACGAAAAACATTATTGGTCTTTGGTTCTAAGTATCATAATTCCCTTTATTAATTAATTGACCTCTATTTCTCTCTCTTTATGCTAATTATTCCTATTTTTAGCCTTTCAATCATCTTTTTTAATAATTTTCTCAGACAGGGTAAAAGGGACCACTTTGGGGTCTATGGAGATTTTTCTGACGAACGTTTCGGGCAGTTTTGGGTCTGGGGAGGGAATTTAGAGAGAACTTGGGGGTCTGGAGGACACTTGGGGAGCCGGGTGGGCACTTGGAGGGGCACTTAGGGATTCTGTGGGACAATTCGGGGTCCGGGGGAGAACTTGGAGGTCAGGGAGGGGGATCCGGAGGCCCTTCGGGGTCCGGGCGGGCACTTGGGGGACTGTAACGGAACTCCGTGGGGCGCGGGGAATGACGGGAGGTGTAGGCGCCGGTATAATACGGTTTAATGGAACCGCGGAGCATCACGGGAGTTGAAGGCGCAGCGCCAATGGGTTCCGGTGAGGCGCGGGGCATGACGGGAGATGCAGTCCCGGCTGGAATTGCGCTCTATGGGCGCCGCGGAGCATGATGGGAGCTGTAGTCCCGGAAGTGGCTCGGAAGGCGCGTTTGGCCGTGTGGGGAGACACTTGGGGAGCACTTTTGCGTCTGATTCGTGGCTGCAGGTCCTCGGGGTGAATGTATACGGCTCGGGAGCACTTGGGGGGAACCTGGGGAGCTCTATCCGGTGCTCTTTAGGGCGGGGGGCATGGCAGGAGGTTTGGGCGCGGAACTGTGTTGTGGGATGATGGGAGATGAATTCCCAGCAGTGGCTGGAAGGGGAATCTGTGGGGTCGGGAGCATTCAGGGATCCAGGGACGCTTTGGGGGGCCTCGAACGGGCGCTGAGGGGGCACTCGTGGATTCCGGAGGTTATGGGGAACACTTGTGGGACCCATGGGGGTCGATCCCGGGTTTCTGGGGAGCGCAGGGCATATTCCCAGTTCCTGACAACTTGGTCTCAATTGCCCCCTGCAGGCTCCTACTGACTGCCAGTATGATCCCAGTATGATATCAGTACACAGCCAGTGCAATCTCAGCCACTGCCAGGATGATCCCAGTACAAACCAGTCCCTGTCAGTGCTGCCACTCCTGGGATCCCCCAGCCCTCTCTGTGTTCCCCCCTCCCACATCTCCCCAGAGGAGCCCCGAGGGCTGGCAGTCCCCAGCCAGGGTCCCTAGCCAGCCCTGGGTTGGATCTGCAGCCCCCAATTTTCCCAGTTTCCCTCTCCTTTTCCCTGGGCCGGGTTCCCCCTGCCCCCAGCGGGTGGGAGCAGCGGAGAGCCCCGTGCTGCCCATCCCGACCTGTCCCGGCTCCATCCCCACTCCTGCCGTGGGCTGTGAGGGGTTTGGGAACGGGGCACCGAGGGAGTCACTGCTCCTGGGGGATGAGAAGGTGGGATGGAAGAGGAGGGATGAAGAAGGAGAGAGAGAGGGGATGGAAGTAGGAGCAGGAGGTGGGGTTAGGGAGGAAAAAGGTCAGGAGGGATGGAAGAGGAGGAGCGGGAGGAAGAAGAAGAGGAGGGATAAAGGAAGATCATGGAAAGGAGAAGGAAACACGAGGTCGAGCACTCCCTGAATTCACAGCCCCTCACTTGTGGGATCATCACCCCCCATCCCACAGGTGGCTGGGGAAGGGGAGCTTGGCCCAGATATCCTGGGGGGTCCCTCGGTTGGGTTTTTTTGGGGGTGATGATTGGAGAATGAAGAACTCCAAAGCTGAGTGGAAAATCCTACTTGGAGGGATACTGGGGGGTCCTGGTGGCAGCTGCTGGCAGAGGCAGCCTGGAGGAGCAGAGCCCTGTGACCCCCAGGACTCCAAAGTGGGGAGCCCAGAGAGGGGGAGCGCCACAATGCATGGGACACTCAACCGCCTGGAGAGGGGAAGGGGGGACTCTTTGGACCCCCTGCACCCCCAAGCAGAGAATAAGGGGAGGAGGGACCATGGGAATCCAAAAAAACCCATCTTTCCTAAATGAGGAGATGGAAATGGGAGGAAGTTTTTGGATTTCTGGCACTCCCAGCAACCTGGGGTGGGCAGGGACAGACAGAGCAGACAGGGGACCCCCAGTACAAGCGTGACCTGCAGCAGCTGGGACAGGGAGGAACCCCTGAACAGCAAAGGGGAGAGAACAGAGATGGGGAACTTCTGGGAGGCATTTTCAGGGCTGCATCTTGGTGTTTGGGACGTTTTTATGGACCCCATATGCCCGGTGACTTCTAGAGATGAACTTGAGTCAAGGGACTTTCAAACTGAAGATACTCTTCTCCCGGACTTTCAAACTGAAGATACTCTTCTCCCGTTTTACCTAAACCAGGATTTCCTATTCCCAAACCTTGGTCAGATGGAGAAGGAGGCTGTGAGGAAGAGGAAGATGCCCCAGGACACCCAGGCATTTTTATAACCTAATTTTTATATTTATTTAAAAGAATTTATACTTTTTCAGGGACAAAAAACATTACTGGTCGTTGGTTCTAAGTACCACAATTCCCTTCATTAATTAATATATCACTATTTCTCCCTCTTTATGCTAATTGCACCTATTTTTAGTCCTTTGATCATCTTTTTAAAAAATTTTCTCAGACAGGGTAGAAGGGACCACTTTGGTGTCCATGGAGACTTTTCTGAGGAACATTTGGGGCAGTTTTGGGTCTGGGGAGGGAATTTAGAGAGAACTTGGGTGTCTGGAGGACGCTAGGGGGAGCTGGGTGGGCACTTGGAGGGGCACTTAGGGATTCTGTGGTACAATTAGGAGCCCGGGGGAGCACTTGGGGGTCCAGGGGGGCACTTGGAGGTCAGGGAGGGGATCCGGAGGCCCTTCGGGGTCCGGGCGGGCACTTGGGGGACTGTAACAGGGAATCTACGGGCCGCGGGAGATGATGGGAGTTGTAGGCGCCGGTATAATACGATTTAATGGAACCGCGGAGCATCACGGGAGTTGTAGACGCAGCTTCAATGGATTTCGGTGAGGCGCGGGGCATGACGGGAGATGCAGTCCCGGCTGGAAGTGGCTCGGGAGGTGCGTTCGGCCGTGTGGGGGGGCACTTGGGGAACGCTTTTGCGTCCGAGCCATGGCTGCAGGTGCTCGGGGCGAATGTATACGGCTTGGGAGCACTTGTGGGGAACCTGGGGAGCTGTAACCGGGCTCTTTAGGGCGCGGGGCAGGGCAGGAGGTTTGGGCGCGGAACTGTGTTCTGGGATGATGGGAGATGAATTCCCAGCAGTGGCTGGAAGGGGAATCTGTGGAGTCGAGAGCATTCAGGGATCCAGGGACACTTTGGGGGGCCTCGAACGGGCGCTGAGGGGGCACTTGGGGATCCTGGAGGGTCTGGGGGACAATTATGGGACCCATGGGGGGGCGATCCTAGGATTCTGGGGAGCGTAGGGCATATTCCCAGTCCCTCCCAGTTCCTTCCAGCATGATCCCATTTGCTCACAACCACTCCCAGTCAGCCTCAGTGTAGCTGGACTCCCTGCAAGTATGATCGTATTCACCTCCAGCATGATCCAAATTTATTCCAGTATAAGTCCTTGTGGTAAATGTAACTTTGGAAAAAATTCGTGAAGGAGGGAATAAGTATATAACTGTATTTATAACAGTATAAAACACATAAAAATATAGTGTGCACTAAAGATTCCTCCCCAAACTGAGCAGTAACTACTTATTCAGGTGATAACGATCCTAGGTGATGCTTATCAGCCTGAGAGGAAGAGCAGAACAAGGGCCATCAGGCTAGACAATGAGAGGAGCCTAAATCTAATATTTTAGGTTCGTTATTAAAAGAAGTTTTCATTTCGTGTTTTAAATTTTTCCCTTCCCAATACATTTTTCCCCCAATAGTACACGGTTTTAAGTTTGCTCTATTGTAGCAAAGAGGGTTGACTTGAAAATAAGCTATAAAAGTTGATTGCCTCTTCCCCCCAATCCAGACAGTTTTGTTACACTGTCCGCAGACCGAAATTGGAGGGACTCCCCTTATCTCTCTTTTGTTTCGGAGGTGGGTCGTTTGAATCTTTTGTTCTCTCGAGGTCCGAAATTGCTTTTCCATAATACTTGCTCCTGGGTTGGAGCACCAAACCTTTCCCTTTAATTTACACAGATTCAATTGGGAATCATTCGACCAGCATAACCCTGCGTGCAGTTCCGGAGGACAGTCGATCAATCGCTCAGGTCCTGTGGCAGTCCGGCACTGCTCACACTTCCCCGGGGGACTCTCCCCCGGAGGCGCCTCGGGACTCGTTCCCTCGGCCAAGCACATGGCTAGGTTCAGGATCATCAGGATGCCAAGCACATGGCTAGGTTCAGGATCATCAGGATTCCCCACCATTGCATCCCTCTGCCATGCCCTTCGCCCGTATAGGAACATACAGCGGGGATAGCCATCTTCTCGGCAGCAGGGACTGTCTTCAGGGGCCCTTGAAGTCCTGATGGCGTACCTTCTCTTAAAGGTAGCCCACCGAGATGCTTTGATCGGGTCAATCCTACACGGTACTTTTATTGTTCGGCGGCACTCAATCACTAGAGGTTCCGCTTTGCAGTCGAGTTTCCCTCTCAGCCCCTTTTGGAAAAATTGAAACCACTCAGGAGAGTCTAGTTCCAACAAGCCCGCCCGGGTAGCAAGTATCAGGAAACGATTGGTCTGATCTAATTCCTTTTCTAGGCACTGGTTACACAAACCCCTAGGTTGGTTCCCTCCTAAGCAATGAGCCACCCAAATTTGCTTACAATAAGCACACTCAAAGTGTACAAATGGAAAACAGTAACAATCGGAATTTATACAACTTATCTGTCCTTCGCTTGTCATTTGTGGTGACGCCGAAACTTGATTTTCAATTCTCCCGGAGGGGTAGTGACCTTCCACTCAGAAGAATTGTAATCCGTGACCTTTTTTGCCCGAGAAGAGTGTGTCCACCCCTTCTCGGCAGTTCGAATTGCGGTATCTGTAGTCAGAAGGACGAGAAATGGACCTTCCCAATGAGGACTGAGGGGGAGCTCCTTCCACACCTTGATCAGTACTTTATCTCCCGGTCGAATCTGATGGATTGGAAATCCCAATGTTGTGCTTTGGGGAATCAATCCTCTTCTTCTTAACTCCTGTAAGTTTTTATTGATAGAAATAAGATACGGTTGGATTCGCACATCCTCTACTTGAGGATGGGCTACCGGCATTCCATGCTTATATGGCATTCCATATAGCATTTCAAAGGGGGATAATCCTGTTCCAGAATGTGGCATGGTTCTGATATTCAACAATGCCAGGGGAAGACATTTGATCCAGGACATCTTTGTTTCAATCATCAGTTTAGATAACTGTGATTTCAATGTTTGATTCATTCTTTCCACTTGCCCCGAACTCTGAGGATGCCAGGGGGTGTGATATTGCCATCTTATTCTTAATGCTTCTGATAATTGTTTAATGATTTTTGAAGTAAAATGAGTGCCTTGATCTGAATCAATATGGTCCACTATCCCATATCTGGGAATTATTTCTTCTAGTAAAATTTTTGACACCGTTTGGGCGGTAGCCTTTGCTCTGGGAAAAGCCTCTACCCAATGTGTTAACTTATCTACAATTACCAGCACATATTTATTCCTACCAATTTTTGGTAGTTCTGTGAAATCTACTTGGATTCTTTCAAACGGCCGGTATGAGAGCGGCCTGCTTCCCCAAGTTGATTGTTTAAAATTTGCCCGATTTACCTTCTGGCATATCACACACCCCTGTACCTCTTGCTTGGCAAGTTCGAAGATTCCTTTGCATCCAAAGAACTTTAAGAATTGTTCTGCCAATGCCCTGGTTCCCCAATGTGTCTGTTCGTGTAACCTTCTGAGTATTCCCTTGGCTATTCCCTTTGGGACTAACTCTATCCCGTCCGGTAACCACCATTTACCTTTTTCGAGGTAGCCTCCTACCCTTTTGAATTCTTCCAGCTCCTTTTCCGAGGGGAGCATGGAAACCTCTGGTGATTCCTTTGGGACTATCTCAGGAATACTTACTGTTAACAAAGCCACTCGTTTTGCTTCTTTGTCTGCCCAATTGTTCCCCCTTGTGTGGAATTGCCACCCAGTTTGGTGTCCTTTCACGTGAACAACCGATATCTCTTGTGGCTCTCTGACTGCTTCCAAAATTTGTCTGATTATTTCTCCGTGTATTAACCCCTTCCCTTTGGTGTTAATCAAACCCCTTGCTTCCCGTATTTTTCCAAAAGTATGAACCACTCCAAATGCATACCTTGAATCCGTGTAAATGGTCCCCCTTTTTCCTTTCAAACCCTGAAGAGCTCTTAGGGGAGCATACAGCTCACAAGCCTGTGCAGACCAGCTTGCCTGCAGGGGGCCTGATTCTATAGTTTGCCCTGTCGTGCCGTTTATGATGGCATATCCTGATTTTCGCTTTCCTTCAACTACCCTTGAGGAGCCGTCAATGAACCATTTCTCCCCTCCTTTCAGTTCCTGATCCTGAAAGTCCGGTCTTACCTTGGTTTGCAGTTCTACTGTCTCAATACAATTATGAATTAGCTTTCCTGTTGGTTCCCTGTTATAAATACAACGGCAGATTAAAGATTAACAAAGATAAATTTATTATAAATTAATAAAGCAACAAACAGTGAGGAAAAAACCACAATAAATGGACAGCGCAGCGCTGGGTGGACAGGGTCTATACGCAAGGTATAGGTGTTCCCAAATCCACGTCTGAGGGTTCTCTGGCCTGGGTTTTTATAGGGATTTTATGTCCCCAGGCTAGAATTCCAACCAGTTTCCATTCACCAAATGTCCCTGATTGTCTGGTGAATGGATTTCCTGGCCTAGAACATTGAGTCAGTAAGTATCCGGGCAGAGTCTCCTCAAATGCAAAGTGAGTCTGTATGTATTTTAACATATTTCATCACAGCAGAATCGAGGGATCCGGGCTAGCGCCGATGGATATC